ATATATATATATTTAAAGCTTTTGATTATGTTCATTTATACATGTAAGTTAGCATCTTGAAATAGAACAAGAGAAGTAAGATGAAGCATACAGAAACCTCAGTATTCTGAGGTATGTACTGTGGCAAAGGATTATTTTGCTTATGTTCATTTATACATGTAAGTTAGCATCTTGAAATAGAACAAGAGAAGTAAGATGAAGCATACAGAAACCTCAGTATTCTGAGGTATGTACTGTGGCAAAGGATTTACACTACACTGTGGAATAATATCAATTCTGTTTTTTGGCAGCTGGTTCAATTACATCTCTGCTTGCAAGATGAGCTATTAACATTTATTGAAATGTGCTCGTCTCAGTGCTAAAATGATCCTTTATAATTTTTCTAATTTAGTTGCATTTTTTATTTTTTAGATTTATATTCCACTCTATCTAAAGGGCTCAGAAAAGCTTAAAACAAACAGACAACCCACAGAGTGGAAATAACAGTTCATTCACTTGAGAACAATTCTTTTTAAATTTTTTTAAAATTTCCCCATTAAAAATACAAATAACTTAGATAACCCAACTAAATAACCCAAAAGTCAACCCTCCCATCTCAAAACAAAACCCCACTAATGCTCAAATGCTGGTCAGCCCTTAAAACTGCCACCTAAAGTATTAATACATTGCTTTGGCATTCATTAACTCTTTTTTTCCCTTAAAAAATGGCTGTTGCATAACATGTTGGATTGCCTTTTACAAACAAAGAGACCCGATAAAGCCAGAAACAAATGTATATTACAGTGCTTCATTCATAACATTTTGTTTGATATGTAGCTAGAAAGCAGAAAATGCAGCTAAAGAATAAAGTTTGTAAGCATGACAAACCATTTCATAATTGTTTTGGCAGAAAGCGCACAAGTTTTAGTAACAGATCTGAATAATCTATAGAACAGATAAGCTGTTTGTTTAGCAATGGTGGCATATTGTCTGTGAAAACAGATAACTATCTTAAATCCTTGCAAAACAGTACAACATACATTAATGTACGTGCAAATAAACATAATCTGTGCTTTGTATTTTCATACATTTCAGCTTCTTTCAGTTTGCTTAGGAAAAATGTTGAGAGGTTATGCATAATATTAGAGGAAACCAGGAAAGGTTGTTTTTCTTAGCTTAGAATTTGCTATGAGATTCTTTTGAATCTCTTAACACCACCTGTGTGTGAGGTAAGAGATTTAGTTTGAGGAATATATTTCAATTTGTGATATTTTTTACGATGGGTGAATAGAGAACTACTACTGAGTCACATGATAAACATTTGTATCAATCAGCCCTGTATATGGCTTGAAACCATGCACTGCAGGTAGAAAAACCTTAAGTAGTAAACTTTAAGTCTGTGCTGAACCTCCTTCTCCCAGTGGTCTTTGTTTGCTTTGACATCTGCTGAAGTTTGTGTACTGATAATCACTTAGGGTGCTTACACAAGGCAAGGGGGCTCCTTTCTACCGTACCTTTTTCTCCAGTTCTGGCTCTACAAAATCCAGCCAGCAGCTCCATGCTGCTCCCTTTCTCCTCCCTCCCCTGCTGACAGCCCTGGTGAGGGGTAGGGCTGATAACTGTTAGTTTTCTTTAGTTGTATGCATAGCTCTGTGGCTTTTCCACTGATTCTTCTTAATTTGTATACATCACTACCCTTTCAGGATTTATCCTTTCCAGAGATTCACAAGTTAGCAAAGTTTGTGTTGTCTCTTTAATGGAAGAAAAGCAAATATCACGTTTGGCTTTTAGATACAATTTGGAGGTGAATATTGCAGCAAAGTGCTACAGGTTTAGCATGCAAGTCATGGAGCCTGTTAAATATTTGAGGAATTTTGTGCTACAGCTTATACTTCATCTATCATAAAGGGATTTAAAATTCCCAGTGGTACTATAATAGGGTTTGAAAAAAGAAGAAAAACCCCACTAAAATAGAGTCAGTTTAATCATGATCATTTCTTTCAATTACAATATTTTAAAAACCATTGACCTCACAATGACTGTGCCAGTGACACTGCAGAAAAGTTTGTTCTTTTTCTATTTACAGTAACTTTTTTTTATCAGCAGTGTTAACAAATTAAACTGATTTTTATGAAGTGTTTTTTAAATGCTTACCTTTTTCTCCATTTAGTATTTCTGGAAATAACGTATTTGTTTAGAGTGGAAAAATATAGCTGGTTTGAATTGAAATATGATCATATTAAAATTCTTTTAAAATGATACTAAATTACTTTTTTAAATAAATGTGCTGTCATACAATGTTGTTAGACATTTCAGTCAAAGTCTAGCCTGGTAAAACTTCAGATTAACTTGTAGAATTAAAAATAGGATAAATAAATTTTTCAGTTTTACCCTTAAAAGCTTAATATGATAACAGTATTTGAAATGACTAAATGAAACCCCCAAAAATCTGAATATTGTAAATATTTGTAATCCTGCTTCAAGATGTCCCATTCTAACTTTTCCCTTTTACAAGGTTTATACCCATGTGGGATAACCTCAAAGACATTTTGGAGCTCACATCCATCCATTGGGAATCCCTCGCAGTTGAGTATGATCGTCCTCCATGACTGCTTTATCTATGGGTCAATTCTACATGAGCCCATGAGTCCTTTGAAAACAGAGTCCTCTTCTGGGCTGTATGCAACTATCAGGATTTTTTTCCTTTCTTGTGATTGTACCGCTGAAGATCTTCTAGTGGGTAACCTGATAACAACTGATTACAAGGGGTGAAAGGCCCATACAAAAGCCTTCACTCCTGTAGTTACAAAGCAATTATTTAAAGCATCTCTTTAGTATACTACACTTTTAATTCAGCTGAGTTCAGGGTATATCAGAGAACATCACTTTTCCTATGTTTCGCACTATTCCTTGGCCTACCCTGTGCAATAGCAGGAAAAAAATGGCTGGCAGGAACCAGTTTTCTATAGGCAAACTGCTTGGAAAAAAATGTGTAGTAGTTCATGGGTCTGTCTTAAAATATAAAGGTTACTTGGTTAAATTTCAGCCTTTTGAAGCTGGAATTAGTTTTTCACAAAGGCAGCTTCTGCGCTGCAGACTGCTACTGTGTTGCCTCTTTCCCCTGCTTCCACAAACATATTCCCATTCAGGAGTGGATCCAGAGGGAGTGCAACGGCCCTTTCTGACCATGTGGCAGGAGCAGCAGCCCCAGTCCCCAAAGAGGGAATGGAGGGGAGCAATTCTTCCCTTGCTCAAAGGAGCATCCCTATTTCACAAAGGCAGCTTCTGCGCTGCAGACTGCTACTGTGTTGCCTCTTTCCCCTGCTTCCACAAACATATTCCCATTCAGGAGTGGATCCAGAGGGAGTGCAACGGCCCTTTCTGACCATGTGGCAGGAGCAGCAGCCCCAGTCCCCAAAGAGGGAATGGAGGGGAGCAATTCTTCCCTTGCTCCAAGGAGCATCCCTCCCCCCCTCGCCACCCATTCCCTCTCCCCAGCCTGCTTCTGTCCGGAGGGAAAAAGGGAGTTCCTGTCCCACTCCAGCTGGGCTGCACAGGGGCTGGGCACAGCCAGGGACAGAAGCAGTGTAGCAGGTGGGTTCTCCCTCCCTGCCTGTTTCCCTTTCCCCCCCCGTGCCCCGATGTTTCACCACCAGTCCATGAGGAGGTGCAGGGAGGGGAAACCTGCCCAACCACCATCACTGCCATTGCCCTAGACTGAGCCTAGCCCCCATGTAGCCCCGCTGAAGCAACTCTGGAACTCCCATTGCCCCCAAGACAGTAGGGACAGCAGCAACAGCAGCAGGTAGAGGGGAGGGGATGTATCCATTAGCAGGGAGGAGGTGGTGGTGGGATTTCTACCTGCTTTAGGGACTTAAAATCCCCCACTGCTGCCCCTGTAGCATGGTGTGCCTACCCCAGTGTGGTTGGGAGGGGTGGGAGAAAGGAGGTGGCTGGAAGCAAGGGGTGCAGTCACTCCTGCCATGCCTATTGCTGCTTTCAAACCCCCCTTGTAAAATCCTGAATCCACTTCTGTTCCCATTGTCATGCTACAAGTGTGTGGGGGAAATACCACCACTGCATGCTACAAGTTAAACCTCAGATGTTGTAGTGGGTGTCTAAGACCTGCTGCAGCCTGCCTTTTTCTCCTTGCCAGTTGTACTTGGCCAGTGTATTGAGAGCCAGTACTTTGAGGAGCTAGCTCTTTTCTAGTCCATATACTCAAAAAAAAAAAAAAAAAAAAAAAAAAAAAGTTGCTGTTGTAATGTAATGTTGGCAAACATTTTCACTTTGAGGCTAACTGCCTTTACCTTTTTTTATCCTTCACAGCTCAACAAGCAGCAATTACAGATACTAAAGGAGCATTTCCAGCTCTTCCTGAATGGGGAGACACAAATTGTAGCAGATGAAGCATTTTGCAACGCTGTGCGAAGTTATTATGAGGCAAGTTGAACACTTTGTTTTCTTTGCTGCTTAGAAAGTTCACAAGACTTTTGTATAATTATAATCCATCTGTATTGAAGGAATTGTGAGTTTCCAAGGCTGTGAGCCTGAGAAGCTCCTGAAAACATTTTCTGTGCTGCTTTGCAATTCAAAAACTTTAAATCCACTGCCTGGGCATACGAGATAAACTAAACTGGAAGATATACACTTCTGAGGAAGGGGAAAAGACAAAAAAGACGCTAAAAATGTTTCTGGCACTGGTTGATACAACTGGGTACTGCTATCTTTATTGCCATATGTCTAAATTACCCCTTTTAATCAGGATTTTAGCTGTAAATTACCATCTTGAAATGCATGTCCTCTGGCCTATGAATTTTTAGGGACAGTAAAGAGTTTCTTGGAGATGAGTTGGTTTTCTCTTTCCTGAAGGAATAATGCTCCCAATACAGCAGTGCCAAGTCTCTTGAATTCAGCCTGTGCCGTCCTAGGGATTCTATTGTGATTAACACTGCCAGCCCCAGTTTTTACATTTGTTCTTTAATTGCTTAAGGGGAATGTCCTTTTCTATGGATGATAAATTATTTTGAGAACTCTCTATCCCTCTTATTTCATGGGTCACACAATTGAGTAATATATGCATTGTACTTTGCAGAAAGCAGCTGCTTTAAATAAAACATTTATAGCAAACTTCAAGTTTGCTAGGCATATCACTAGTGCTTTATATTTTTAAATCACTGTAGTTATTTCTTTAATTAGTTTTTTTCTTAATATTACAAATGGTTTGTTCTCTTTCAAATTAGTCATGTTTTCTTTCAGCATATAGTTCCTTCTTATTCCTTCCTGATGTACTTTTCCATTTACTAAGTAAAAACATTTTTGGTACAGAAAGGCTTATATGTACTAATACAATTATGATGTGCAGCTTTTATTTTTTTTCCTTTCCTGTACAAGAAAATTAGGTGAGATGCGTTGCCCAGCTATCTCAGGAAAAGTGTCACAGTTCAGAATGAGAATTTATCCTTTCAGTCAAATGATGGACAAACCATTTCCCTGGAGACAGAGGAGACCCTGTATTTGTGGAGAGGTTGGGAAGAAAGTGAGACTTACACAGTTTGCAAGCTAAGGGGACAAGGAAGATGTGAATGTTAACTGATAGGAAAATGGGTGAGGGAGAAAATACTGGTGACGTCAAAAAGGAGGTATGATTAAGTCAGGGGTATAAGGAAAGTGCTGGGAGCAAATACCAGTGGAAGACTTAGGAGAGGGAGAAAGCCATGGTTGGAATGTGAAAATACTAAGAGAACAGGGCAGAAATGAAGAAGATTTGATTCAGATATATTTACAACTTTTTCATCCTATGAAGAATTATATCAGTGCTATTATTTTTGTTACACAAGGAACCTAAGAAGTATTTAAGGAGTGTTTGGTTAAGTGAAGATCCAGAGGGACTCGAGAGGAATGTGATAAGCAGCAGATTAAGGACAATAAGGACTAAGGATAATCTACTACAGGGCTATTCATTTTCTTGATGGTGGGGGCCATACTTCACTTGGGCTATAGATCCCTGCCATTCCTCCTGCTGACCTGGCAGCCTAGCTTTCTCTCACCATGTGCCCACTGCTTGGGCAGCATGTCTTCCCCTGCCGCTCACATAGCCCAGATGGCACAGACTCTCTCATGTACAGGACCCTTCTTTTGTGCCATGGGCAGCCTGGATTTTCCTCTGTTGCATGTGCCTACTACACAGCCCCAAGACAGGAGGCAGGAAGCAGAAGTCAAAAAGAGTGGGAGCCTGGTCACTCCAGTCACTGAAGTGGTGGGGGCAATGGCAGCTGGGTGGGAGCCCAGGGTCTGAATGTTAACCCCTTAGGACTGCATGCAGCTCATGGACTGCCAGTTAGACAAACTTGATCTACTAGACTTATTTAACTTTCAAGAAGGGCTGATTAGTGCCACCATAAAGCTAGTTTGGTGGCCAGATAGAAAAGACACAATGGGCTGTTCCAGTACTAAAACTCTAATGATGAAGAAAAGGGAAAGAATTACTGCATTTAATCATTCTTTCTCATCATAACATCTGTGAGGCTTGGGCAGGGCAAGTGCAGTGGAGGCGCAGTGGCCAAAGGACCTCTGGCAGTGGGAGCATCACCTGGCCCCAGGCTGAGGTCCCAGGAGAGCTGTGCACCTACTGATGGGGACTGGGGCACTGGGTGTGGGAGGCCCTGGCTGACCATCTCCTCTTGCTGGCCCCACTCTAGCTTGCCAGCACTGCCGGCCAAGGACCCCCAATCCTCTTTGCCCTCCCCCAGCATGACACTCACTGCACACACACCTCACAAGAGCAAGTTTTTATTTCTCTCGCATCAGCCAGGGCGCCCCCCACCCCTTCCTACTTCCCCTGAACAAACAGAGCCCCTCCACTACCCAACCCACCCACCCACCAACAATAAAAAAAAACCCAAAGAACTTCTTCGTGAAAACAATGTGCAATGTCCTTTGTGGGCTATCCTGGGGTGAAGTGGGGGCACCTAGGGGGCAGAGCCTGGGGGTAGGCAGCCAGCACCTCAGCCTCTGGCTGTTCTCCCATGGATACGATGCCATGGTGGGGGGTTTGCCCAGGAGTGATGGTGGGCAGTGCTCCCCTTGTGCAGGTGGCTCCCCATCTGGCAGACAGAGTCCAGGCCCAGCAGGGCTGGCATGTGGTCCTGGCATTGCTCCAGACAGCTCTAGCTTCTCACCTTCATGGAGCTGGGGCAAGCAGCAGGCCTGGGTCCAGGTGACAGGGCTGGATGGTGGGGCACCTGGGGTGGGGTCTGGTCCAGGGGCTTCTGGTGGCTGGAGGGACTTTAGGACCTCCTCCCAGGCCCAAATGGGGGCCTCCTGCAGGGCAGCAGGCAGCTGCCAGGAGGCATGCAGGTAGAACGCTGGGCAGCAGGTAGCACAAAGGTGACTGTCAGGGTCAGAACAGTGTCCAGGACCTGGCAGTCATCATTCGTGGCCTGCACTGCCCAGCCCAGAATGGTGTTCTGCCCCCACAGCACCTAGAGCTGCTCATGCTCTAGGGGCAGGAACTGTGCTGGGAACTCTTGTTCTGCCTGGTCCTGTTCCTCTTTGCACCAGTCCTGCATGTCCTCACAGGAGATGTCCTCTGCCCATCAGACCCATGCAGTCTCCACACGCTCCTCCAACACCATGCCAGTTGCTGCAGGAGAACAGTGCAATCTATTCTGCACCTCTGGTGGAGTCAGTGCATCCACAGGGCCATGGCTGTGGATAGTGGCGGCCCTGAGGCCATATCCTCTGTCAATTGTGGCCTCTTCCCCACATCCAGCTGCACGACCTGTAGAATCACGAGATAAGCATTTTGTGAGAGTTTGCAACATTTCAAAGATAAGGTGCTTTGTACCAGAGGCTGTGTGCTACCTGACTTCAGATAAGAGGTTGGGTGAGCATAGGTGACCAGGGACCATGATAAAGCAGCAGGGCAGGCCTGGGCCCAGGTGGCTGCCACCAGAGCCCCCCCGTCCGTGCGCACTCTTCTGAGGCCAGTGGGCCACTGGGCGCTGGCTCTAGCCAGCCTGCCTCCCCTGTGCCATTCCCAGGGCTGAATACACCAGGCTGCTCCAGACCCTGATGCCTTCCTTTCTCCTGCAGGCCAACCGCTCTACTGGGCTGCCGCCACAACACCTGGGCTTGGGGGGCACAGGGCTCCTGGACAACTGGGACAAGGAGCTGCCCATGCCCCTGCCCTCCCCTCTGGGGGCCTCTCCAGGGAGGTGCCCTGGGGCCATTTTCCTGCCATGCTTGCGCTGCTCCCCAAGTGTGCCCCTGCTGCATGTGCCCTGGACAGTGTGTGATGAGCAGTTTGCATGGACCAAGGTGCGTCTGACCTACTGTGCCCTGCTGATGCTAATCCTCATGGTGCCCCAGGTGTACCTGGTATGGGACCATAAGCTATGATGGGGTGAGGGGCAAGCCTAGGTTGCCCTGCAACCTCTGCCATCACTTGGAGGGCTACGTGTGGCAGCGCTACATATTTCTGGTTCCTGCTGCTGAGGAAGACGTATCTGCCAGCATCAATGTGCTTCTCAGTGGGCGAGAGGCCTGTGTCTGTCTAGCTGTGGGGGCACGGGCTAGTCAATAAAGTTCTGCGCTGTGTCTCACCTGTCTGTGCGCTCTGGCGGGGGAACCCAGGGCCAGGGGAGTGCAGGCGGGCTGGCCAGGGAAGGTGGGGCAGGGGCCGGGGTGAGAGGCAGGGGCTGGGGTGGGGCACGTCCTTCCCCTATTGTGGGACTTACCACGTGGCTGGACCTAGTAGCATGGCTCACAGCTCAGCAGTCCTGCCAGTCAGCAACAGTGTGCGGCTGCAGCCAGTGTCCTCAGATTGCAGGACGCCATGTGCAGGAACCTGGCTGGTGCCCCTGCCAAGGAGGATCTGGCGCTGCTGGCAGCGTCGTGGCTGGCTGTGCCTCGTGACTGACCATTGGGCTGTGGAGGTGGTGAGGCAGGCACTGGCCAGGGCTCCCTCAGCTGCTGGTGGAAACTGCAGCTGGGAAGCTGCGTGGGACAGGTGACTGGATGCCCAAGACACCCTCCCCCAGTGACTTGTCACCAGAGGTACCAGGCTAGGGCCAGGGTTTGGGCAGGCTGCCCATGTTGCTGTATACAGAATGGTTGTGGCACAGATCCTGGGGTGCAAGAATGGCTGTCAGTTGCTGCATAAAGGGCATGGTTTTACGGGCATGGCTAGACTGACTATTGTGGTCAGTCATGGCAACCCACTGTGCCTGTAAGACCTTGACATTTATGCAGCACTGCTATGCTGACCAGTTGTGCCCACGCTCCCACATCTGGCCTGACAGTGCCTCATAGGCATGCATGTTGGAGCAGCCACCCCGCTCAAACTGGCACTGTACTTCTGCCTTGCCCCACAGTGCCAGGTCACCAGTCTTCTCCTTGGTCCAGTTGGGGCCTTGGGTGGAGGGCACTGGCATAGGCAT